TTTCATAGGAACATGTTTCCATATGACAGATTCTTGGAAGTACCATTCTTGAGTTCAAGTGCATGAACATCTTAGTTGTTTACATCTGAATAATCTCAAACTGTCTATTAAAAGCTATAAAGAATCTGGAGAAATGGCTCAGTGGCTAAAAGCACTTACTGTTCTTCCAGGGGACCTGGGGTTCCATTTCCAGCACCCAAATGGTGGCTGTAACTCCAGTTCAGGGGAATCTGATGCCCTCTTTTGGCTTGTGTGGGCTAGCAGAAACAGATCACTGCCCACAGCAGCTCAGGCAGCTTACACTCAGGCTGGTCCGAAGGGAAAAGCTGTTAAATCCCTACTTTTTATCTGTTTGGGGATGTTGAGGATTAAACCCAAAGTCTCATGCATGCTAGCCAAAGGCTCTACCACTGAGCTAGGACTCAAGCCTTTGTTTCTGTTTTATGTGTTATAATTCTTATTATTTATATAATTAATGTAGTCTAATTTATGTCCTAATATGGAATTTGGAATCTAGAAGTGGGGTACTGATACAATCCATATAAAATATGTAAATGGAAGTATAGTTCATTGAAAGGATTATAAACACTGGGTACTCATACTTGAATTAAGTAGCCAGTACTCAAAACAAACTACACATAACAAAGTGGCAACACTAGCTTCTAAGCAGGTAGTTAGGATACAGCAAGCTACAATGCTATGAACTTTGCTACTCGTTTATCCTGGTTAGTTTTCTTTCAACTTGATCCTAGCTAGAGTGATCTCAGAAGAAAACATTAATTGAGAAAATGCCTTATCAGATTGCTTGAAGGTAAGACTGCAGGGCATTTTTAAAATTAATGATTGAGGTAGGAGGGCCCTGACCATCGTGGGTGGTGCCACTTCTGGGCAGATGGTTTGCACCGTATAAGAAAACAGGTTAAACAAGCCAGGAGGGACAAGCCAGTAAGCAGCCTTCCTCTCTACAGTCTCGGCTTGAGTTCCTGCCCTTAGTTCTTTTAATAATGAAGTACAACTGTCAGCAACAGAAAATCTAACCACACCAAAACTTTGATAAAAATCACTACTGTAATGCCCTAGAAAATAAACCACAAAGCAAATGAGCACACAACCACAGAGGAAAAGACTAACAAAATTTACATTGTGTTGACTTATTTCTTACATTTAGCAAATCCCTAAAGAAGAGATGGGAACAGGATAAAGGCACTCAATATGCGAGGAGAGACAAGGGAGTATTTCTCCTTTTTTTTTTTTAATTGCAACAGGATCTCATTTAACCCAAAATGAGTTTTCTTTAGCTGAACTCCTGATCTTCCTGCCTCTACCTACTTCTACAGAGCTGAAATTATAAACTCACAACACCATGTCTTGTTTACACAGTGCTGGAGATCAAATCTTCAGGGCTTCATACATGTTAGGTAAGCATTCTACCAACTAGCTGTTGCCTGGAAGGGAATATTTCTTTGTCAGTGGTTGACAAACTATTGACTAGGGTTCAGTTGTTTCGATCATGTATCCAAATACTTCAGCATCCCAATTTTGAGAAGTAGTAGAAAGTGATTTCACAAAGGGCCAGAGGCTGGAGATATGACTCAGCAGTTAAAATTGGACCCGAGTCAGGAAACTAACACTCACCTGTAACTCCAGGTTGAGGGAATCCAATGCCCTCTTCTGGTCTCCATAGCACTGCACAAACTAAGGCATCCACATATGCACATAATTTAGCATATAATTTAAAACAAAGTCTTGGGAAGGAGAACTGGCTTAATGTTTAAGAGCACTGGCTGCTCTTCCAGAAGACCAGAGTTCAATTCCCAGCACCCACATGGGCTCACAACTATCTGTAACTCCAATTCCAGTGAGACTGAATATCCTCTTCTGGCCTCTGTAAGCATCAGGCATGAAATGTACACAGATGCACATGAAGGCAAGGCATCCAACCACATGCAATAAAATTAAAAAATTTAAAAATAAAGTCTTAGAAAGGGCACCCAAATATTGTCAAGTGCATTTTTTAGACCAGCACTTACTTCAATAATCCCTTTATTCATAAACAAATCTCAGCAAAGAACATACTTATTATAAGGTTTTAAAAAGTAAAAAAAAGAAAAATCTTTAGAGAAATAGTCCAGTCAAGTCCAATTACAGGTGTTATCTTCCAATCCAATTCACTCTTTCACACGGCCCCAATACAGGCTGCTATAGGCTGACGGGAGAGGACGAACAAGTCAGACAGCAGACACTGCTGAGGATTAACATTATCTAAATGACATCTCTGGTTGCTTTAACTCTCAACGGGAATAACTAATGGTAAGAATGCGGGTTATCTTTTTTTTTAAAGATTATAAAACCCATTACTATGTACAAATGCATATATGGCAATTTAAAATAAGATTAAAATGCTAGAGAATTAGTAAAACTGTTCTCCAGAGTATGCAACTGCCCAACCCCTGCAGTAATCTGCAAGCCTTTTCAGACTATTCTAATGAGAAGTAGACAACAAAAACTAGATTGGGTGTCTATCAACTGAAAAACTGATAAAGAAAAATGTGACATATTTATAATGGAATTTTTTTATCCATAAAAAAGAGCAAAGTTAGGGCATTGGTGGCAGCTGTAGTGTATGCAAACTTGGCACACAAAGTGCTCTAGGTTCAGTCTCCAATACTTCCTCCAAGATAGAATAAAGTTATGTTGTTTGCTGGAAAACGAATGCAACTGGAGGTAATCATACTGAGCAAGTTAAGGCAGTGTCGAAAGATGACTATCATGTTCTCTCTCCTTTATGAGTCCCAGATTTTATATAGATATATAAAATCAGCTATGTATAAACGACATAGAAGGAGAAGCAAAGCTGACTAGCGAAACAGAGGACTAATTAGAGGAGTTAAGAAAGAAGGAAGTGTCAGGCAGAGAAACCCCTTTAAAGCTGCTGGTCTGAGGAGTCCCCTAGATTCCCAAAATAATACAGGCTCTTTCTGCTGCCTTTGGTTGCCTCCCAGAGGTTGAAAGTAAGGCCCTATTGCTGAAGACACCAGGCACTTAGGACACAGGACTTGGAGGAGCTGAGCTGGATCTGACCTTAAAGCCTCCTCTCTGAGGACTAACCTTCATAGTCCCAGAAGAAGCAAACTTCAGTTCAACTAAGCATGACTATATAAACTCGCAAGACAGCTTTAGTCAAAAGATATTTTGGAGGAAGAGCTTAAGTCTGAGCATCATTTTTGTTTTCTTTCAAGGTTTTTGAGCCAAGGTCTCATTTGTGGCCCAGCCTGGCCTCAAACTCACGATGCCTCCACTTCCCAAGTGCTGGGAGTCTGGTGTGTGCCACTATGATAGACCCTGAGCACTATCTTCATGGTTTTTGCATAAATTCTCAAAGTTCTTAATATTTAAAATATAGGTGGCTAATTTGATTAATTAATTTGCCTTTATTGCAATCATCTGAATGGCCTTTGACTTGAGGTTTTGTTCTTCTCCACTGCTGTGGTTAGGTTCTAGGCAAGTGTCCTACCAATAAGTTATATCCCCTGACTGCATTCCGTGTGCTGAGCCGGGTTCACTCTGAAGCACAGGCGGGCCTTCATCTATAATAGCAGCAGTCTCCTGCTTCAACATCCCAATTGCTACTATTTCAGGAGTGAGCCACTGTATCTGGCTAATTTGAGACTATTACATTAATCATTGTAAGTAAGGACTGGTGGTACATGGCCACCATCTCAGCACTCAGGAGGCAAGAGGATTACGAAGTCAAAGCCAACCTGGGCTACACGATTAGTTCCAGGTGAGTTGGGACTACCTAGCAAGACCCTGTCTATAAAGAAAGAAAAAAATGTTTGGAGCAGAGTACAATAACTTGATTTGAATATTAGAAATTTTTTAGATTAAAAAAATACAAATGTACTCAAGTCACTACCAGGAGGGAATCAAAACTGGGTATGGTAGTATGTGCCCACATATTAATAAGGGTGACCCAAAAGAATCACTGCCTGAGTTTGAGGGCAGCCTGGGATGGTCCCATCTCAAAATAAAAAATCATCTGCAAGTGCTCCAGTGTCCAATATATAACCACACACATACAAAAACATGCCACTTATACAAATTCATACCTTAAAGTATATTTATAATGTGCTTAAGGCAATACCTTTGGTGTCATCAAATCTTCTTGTATCACAAATAAATATATATCCTGTTATCTGTTAATAAAATCTTTAGCATCTGAAGATGATTATTAAATTACCCTTCATCTTATCTAAGTTAATCTAAATTCTTTACTTTTCTTTAATATATTCAATATTTTGAAGGGTCTATTCTTTCATTTGTTTCTTGTGAATATGTGGAGGTGTGAAGGGGATGCACATGCATTCACACTGGGGCTGATGTGAGGGGGTGCACATGCAT